TACACTTTTCAATGAGTTATAGCATTATAAAGTTAAAAATGTAACCAACCCAACCCAACGTCAACTCTTATTTCCTTAATTATGTCCAGATTAGTAATTCTTTTAATTATAAAATTATATAATTTTTATAATTAATTATTTTCAAATTATTATCGATTTTTAATATGTTAAAAGTAATCATTTTGAACCTACTTCTTTTTGTCCTTTAAGTGAAAGTTTTAATTAAAAAAAATGAATTTATTACCATAACTTTTAACTCAACTTGCAAGTTTGAAATAGATATTATTAAATAGAAAAATATGAAATTGGTAGATTATTTCAAAAACAACAATAACACTTATTCCCTTAATTTTACCCCGATTTATAATTATAATATATGAATACATAATAATTACAGTAATTAAATTGAGTATGAAAGTGGTATTCAATAATATAATATTGTAATTTTTACGGAGATATTATAAAAATAAAAAGGAGTTGTATATTCATATACTTTTAATGCGTATACAAATTTAAAGGAATTTATGCAATACTTTTTAATAAAAAAATTTTGTTACTTATGAATAAATACACTAAACAAAAGGAACTTTCATCAGAAAAAAAATATACTTTTCTAAATAAACTTTTCGTGATGTTTTCAAATGTGCAATTAAACTTTTTCTATTACTTCTAAGTTTTAATATTATTACTTATTATTAAAAAATAAGTATTTACATATAAAAAAAAATAATTAAGAACAAAAAAAATTGTATTAAATTAATACTGATTTTGATTTTTAATATGTTAAAGGTATGTAATCATTTTGAACCTACTTTTTATTGTCTTTTAAAGTGAAAGTTTTAATGAAACCTTCTCAGTTTCGCATCGAAGCTAAAAAATGAATTTGTTACCATAACTTATAGTTCAACTTGCAAGTTTGAAATTGACATTATTAAATTGAAAAAAATGAAATTTTTAAGATTAATATGCAATCTGGAAATTTTATAATTACTAANTAATATGCAATCAGGAAATTGTATAATTACTATTTACATTACATTTATCAGACAAATTAATCATTAATCAGACGATTTTTTTGCATTTTTATCGTAATAGATAACTGAAATAGAAAGAATAGTAATCATTTCCTAATAACTTTTGGTGTTTAAAAAAATTCTGCAATTGAAATATTCAGAACTTAATTAATTTTAATAATTTACTTTAATTAAATGAACCAATCAAACCAAAGTAGTTAAAAAGATTTACTCAATTGAGCATATTATCAAAAATATAATTATAAT